ACTTTGGGCTCAATTGTGGTCATAGCTAGAGGACTACCTGTATAGAAAGAGACAGTAAGGAGCTGCACAGCAGCTGTAAAATTTATTCCAGTTAGTTGTATAAAATTGTTGCTTTTGTATTACTGGGCTAAAGGACATGCACAAAAAACCCTGCAGAGAACATGAAAATCGTAACAGGGTGGTTAGAAGTACAGAAACCATTTTTCTATCCACTTTTTTTTAAAAAAAATCTCTCACAGATTCCAGGATGAATTTGCAAGCTTCTAAAAACCTACCGGCATTCTCCCTCTATTACAAGTGGAAGCTTCGGGGTATTTTTCTGTCCTTGAGTTGGTGCTTGATGCTCCAACTTTAATAAGTAAATGAGCAGCAGGAAGCTTTTTCATGATGGAACAAGGTGGAAGACTAGAAAGCCGTGTCTCTTCGTTGAAGTGTTCCTCCTCTCTCCTACTGGGCCATCAGCGAAAGGAACTGTCTGTGCTGAAATATCTACATTCCTCTATTGTGCCAGATGTGCTGCTGCTGTTATATGTGTGGAAATTGTCAATTAAACGCATTGGGAAAATGATAGATCAGGGAACATTTAATAATTCCTACCGAGTGTTATCTGGCTGTGTTTTCCTTTGTAACTGATATATTTACATGAAATACCCTATCCAACAAATAAGCTATTTTAGATCTTAATGTATTGATCCAGTAACCAAGTGTACTAAGAAAAGGCTGAATTTCCACAATATGTTAAATTATTGCCTACCCACAATCATAACCCAGAATCTTACACCATTTCTTTGTTAAATTGATTTATAAAATATAACGATATTTATCTTACATGTTTATAATATATATTATAACATTATAAAATATAAACTAAACCAGCTTCAAGTTTTAAAAGAAGCAAACAGCAAAGACTTGAAAATTAGAAAAGTTTGAGATTACATTTGTCATAACGGGAATTTTGTTAGTGATAATGCAAATGATACCGTTTCCTATTAAACCTCTAGCAAAAAAAAGCATTGTGGCTCTTCCAGGAGGAGCAGTATTTTTTTCACACTTTATGCTATTTGGAAATGCCACTCATTTGATCCACTATAACGTAACATATGCTTTGCTTGCAAACCCAATTGGTGGTCAAGTAATTAATAAAGGTAGCTGTTGACTTACAACCTCAATTGGAACCAGAATTCCCATTGCTAAGAAAGGTGGTTGCTAAGTGATATATTTTGCCACAACTGTTAAGCAAATCATTGCAGTTGTTAAGTGAAGGGCACTTTTTTAAAGCAAATGGGTTTCCCCCATTGACTTTGCTAGCTGGAAGTTGGATGGGAAGGCTGAAAATTGCAATCATGTGACCCCAGAATATTTCAACCATTGTAAAATATATGCTGGTTGCCAAGTGCCCAAATTTTGAGCACACGACCATGGCGATGCTCTGACAGTCCCAAATGTGAGGACCAGTTGTAAGCCTCTTTTTTTCACTATCACTGTAACTTCGGCCTGTCACTGTAACTTACACTGTAACTAAATGAAGTGTAAGTTGAGGAATATTTATTTATTTATAAAATGTATTGGCTGCCCACCTTACCCCAACGGCTCACAGTTACATTTAAGTTAAAACAAAAAGTTAAAATCAAACATTAAAACCAAAGATACATGAGGAGGGTTGGGGGGGGGGATCTATTATTACTTAATCAACCACCTCCATTGCGCTGTTCCCCCCTGGGGCCCCAAGCCAACTGACACAGCCTCATTTTTAGGCCCTTATGAAAACATAGGAGAGTTGAGGCCAACCTCACATTGACGGGCAAGATGTTCCAGAAGGCAGAAACAATAGCAAAGAAGGCCCTCCTCCTGGACCACGGGTGTCAAACTCAGAACCCGCCCATGGAGTCCTTAAGATATGGCCCGCGGGGCTACCCTGGAAACAGTGAAGGACCGGCTTGCAGTGCCTCTGCCAGTGAAAACGGAACTCACGAGGGCCGTGCGTGGCACTCCTGAGTTCTTTTTTAGCTGACAGAGGGTGGCAGGAGGCTGTCCCAGCCAAAATCAGAGCTCAGGAGCCCGTTTTCGCTGGCAGAGGGTTGCAGGAGGTCATCACAGCTGAAAATTGAGATCCGGAGCCCGTTTTCACTGGCAGAGTGCTCGGACCATCACAGGCACCCCCTGACATGACTGACATCATGCTGGCCATGCTCACCCCAGCCCCCCAAGGTCAAACACAACCCTGATGTGGCCCTCAATGAAATCGAGTTTGACACCTGTGTCCTGGATGCTGCCAGCCAGAATGATCAGGCTGACAGGACCAGCAACATGCCTCCTCTGTCAGTACAAGTGGTACGGGCCAATCCCAGTGGGTGAGATTGTCACTCAAGTAACCTGTGCCTGTGCCATGAAGATCTTTAAAGGTGATCACCAACATCTTGAATTGCACCCAGAAGCAGACTAGTAATACCAAGAGCATTTTATATATAACTCAAGGCAGCGAACATATCCAACACATCTTCCTCTTCCTAATTTCTCCACAACAGTCCTGTGAGGTGCGTTGGGCTGAAGGAGAATGACTGGCCCAAACTTTCTTTGTTAACAGCTTCTAATTTAACCTTTATTATTGGCCCAAATCTTGGGAGAAAAGATAAAACTGGGCTCATTCTTCAATGTATACACAAACAATAACATGGCGTTGTAGAAAAATTTTCTACCTGGAGCATCCCTGTTTGATGGGAGCTTATGCCTGCAGGTTCCCAACGTTCATGTCGCAGCAATTATCTTACTATAAGTTTCTCAGAAGTTATCAGGTATTCTTCATAAAGGACCACAGATTTCTTTTTCAGCCTATCCTCGTTTGCCTAGCAGAACTTGGGATGTGATGTGGGACTTTTATGAGTAGTAAGAATGGTAAGATAGGCCTTCAAGTTGTAACTACAACCCACAATATTTTCTTGAAAAAGCTAAAAACTTCCCAATTTTGGAATAACTGTAATGCAGATGTTGACACCCCCCTATTAAGCACTTTTCCCCAATGATGAGTACTGTAATCCAAAAAGTCCTGAGACACAAAGTTAAAGACCGTGTAAATAGTTTATTATTTTTTTTTAGTACAGGTACTTTGTACAACAATATTTGTTTTAAAATGGGAATGGGCTGGCTGGAAAGAATGGAAGTTATATTCTGAGTAGCAGAGAAGGGACACTGGTACGTACTTACACTAAACACATGATTTTTGGAACAGTTGGGGTGGGGTATGAGAGAACAATACATTTTAACTGGGAAGCAAGCACACACTGTTACAGGCAGGCTGCTTCTGGATATTCAGCAGCTTGCTAGTGTTCAGTGGTCTAGCTGTACAGGATAGGAGGAAGTCAGAATATGAAGATAAAATGTGGGCAGGGAAGAGCACTGTGTAGGGGATAGCCCCAGTATGATAGAGTATGTCGTTGGCTTCACTAGCTCTTCCGCTTTCAAACATAAGAACAAAAGAAACACAACAAAGATATGGTGAATTTGCATTGCTAACTTCAATGCAGTGTGGCCAATTTAATTTATAGCAGCAGGCAAGCTGATCCCACTCGAATTTTGTGCATTTCAGAAACTACCACACACATAGCAAAAATATTTTTACCTACACAAGGCAGAACATGTTCTTCAAAACAATGATTCCTCAGGATTCTCTGGGCAATAACTTCATAGCCAAAGAGAGAAGCGGTCTTTTTTTCTCTCACCACCTCAGTATCAAATCTGCTTAAGCAATTTGCAAAATCAAATGCATTTGGTGCCAGATTGTTCACAATCCAAAACATGATCTCCTTTTGTCTATCCTGATTAAATAAAATTCTTAATCTGGGCAACCATCTCAGGTTATTATTATTCCTTCCTTTCTATCATTATTTTGCCGGAACATACATTTTTATAACCCAAAGCTCTTGCTTTATTGTAATCTGTTGCAAAGTCATTCTGATCAAGCTTAATTTTAGTACCGTTTAAAAATTCTGTGTGTTTGCATGTGAGGGGGAGAAATACAGAGAGGACAATGTATCCCAACAGAATAATAAACCATTTTGGGGGAAACAAATCCCACAGGGATTAGATGGTTTTCCTCATTATATTTTCTTAAGAAAATTTAAAAAATGAATGTAATGAAAAAAAAATCTTATGTCTTTTAACAGTAATATTTAACAATTTGAGGTAAAGACTAACAAAACATTTTACAGGCATTCATAGTGAGATTTTTGACTTGTTACATAATATTAATTTATAACAATACAGAACAACAAGAGCATTCACACTCTTACTCTTGCCCATTAAAAACAAAAGCATTGTTTTTAACCGTGTGTGCTGGCAATTTCACAGATGCTAACCAGTACACGTCTAAAATAACCAGAGTAGATTCACAGAATTTAGTCCAGGATAGGAAATGTACCTTTTCTTGGTAGAAAGCACCATGCCCTCAATTTGGCTCCACTACTTTTAAAATGATGTGGTTTCTATGATCAAAGGCTAAATAAACTAGGACCTTGGAAATACAGACCAGTTTCCCCTTCCTCTAATTTTAATTCCATCCAGTTCCCTAAAACACATTGCAGCCCAGGATGAGAGTGAGGAAAAAAGGTACCTCTTTAGTGTAATTTACGTGTTGTCCAAAGTTAGGAAAGTTAGATTAGCTAAGTAAATTCAATGCATCCTGGTTAAACAGGATGGGGCAATGGCAACCCAAAAGAGATGCATTCAAGTGAGTACAGGTAGCTCTGGATTTACAACAGATCATTTACTGACTGTTCAAAGTTACAAGGGTACTGAAAAAAATGACAGGACCATTTTTCACACTTACAACAATTGCAGCATCTCCATGGTCACATAATCAAAATTTGGCTGCCTGGCTGCTTCTGGTTCATACTTAACATCGATGGTTGCAGTGTCCTGGGGCCATTTGTGACCTTCTGACAAGCAAAGTCAGTGGGGAACCCAGATTCATTTAACAACCAGGTTACTAATTTAACAACTGCAACAATTCACTTTACAAATGTGGCAAGAAAAGTCATAAAATGGGCCCAACTCACTTAACAAATGTTTCACTTAGCAAACATTGGGCTCAATTGTGGTCATAAATCAAGGACTACCTGTAACTCAAATTCTAGTGTCAATCCTGGGGGGGAGAATAGAAGTAATCCCAATCCCAGTCCTAAAAGAGCACCACATTGATTTCCTTCTCTGTAGAAGGAAATCTAAAGAAAAACCGCATGAAAGTGCAAATTGAAGTATGCTGGTAGCTACCACAAGCACCATCTTCCGCCTCGCCTGTCCAAAATAATCTGCTGGGGCAACGTAACAGTCTACTTTAAGATACTGTGTTAAACCTACTTTATAAGTAGGTCTGCTTTCTCAGCATCAGAATGTGAGGCCTACCACAAGATTCCTCATGATTTTGTGTTCATATAAATACTTGGGGGAGGGATGTACAAGGGAATCCACAGAAGATAAGGTAAGAGGAGAGATACCTGTGGAAACTCATGACAAAAATGCACCTTAAAAATGGTGTTTTGCTTCCTCCCTCGCTGAAATTCTGCTGAAAATTTATTTATTTTTAAAATATATATATATATGTGGCTGTCCCATTGGCCAAAGGACTGAGTGAGTTTGGCACCTTCACTGGGAAAAAAAAATAAAGGCCTGAAGAATAGCCACAAAAGGAAATGCAAGGGAGAAAAACACACAAGAACCACTGCATTAAAAACTGGCTTCATCCTTTAAATTTTGTTTGTAATACTTCTTGTTAAGGGAAATAGAAAACTTTAAAAGAAGCAAATGACTGTCTCACAAATAGCTTGGCTTGGAAACTCACAACTATGTTCAGAATAGTTCCTATATAGTTCCTTTCAGAATATAACAGAGACACCCACACCCCAATTAGGCAGTTACTTTTGCTGGAAAATACAGATAAAAAGCAAATGTGTTTGATTCTTGGTTACCAAGATTGGCTGGCTGTACTTTTTCTTCTAATGGACTTGCTATGGATCCTATGGATGGATGATTTTTAATAGGCCTGTACTTTGAAAAAGAAAAAATAAAATTCCTTGGAGACACTATAATTTATATCCAGCAGAGGAATGGGGTGGGCTGAGGGTTGTCGATAGCTTGATAGAAATGCATTCTTTATGAAGAACTAGACATATAGTTCACTTGGTAAAATCAAGCTCATTCTGCTAAAATTGAAGCTATGTTTTTCATGACCTAATGTAATTCACTACACTGTGGTTTATTCATGAAATCTGGTATCTAATCAAACTCAACCAAAAACAACACATTATGCAACTTGAACAGGTAAGTTTCCTGCACTTTGCTGTGATGAAATTAGATTTCCCATCTCTTGCTCCTAATACTTATTTTATTAATTTTCTATAGGTTTCATTGCAAGTTATTTTATGTAATAATATTTATCACATGGTTTTACATTTATTATCCAGAACTCCAAAAGCATGCTATACTATTTCCTGGTATAGTATAATCCTCCTCTGCAAAAGGAAAATTTCAGCTCGTATGCTCTGATGTTGCATGGATCTCTGAGAAATTAGACCGAAACACTTCTAATATATCCTGTAGTTCCTAGTATTTACTAGCATGGAAGAAAAAGAAAGTTATCGTTTTCTTCAAGCTTCTATACAAGTAGAAGCAATAAAGAGTGGGAAGTCGGAGTTTGTGGCATCATTTAATGAACTGTATTATAAGGCTCTACAGCTGTGATCTAAACACTGGGAAAAAGCTGCAGTACCCTGAATAATTTGTATAGAATAGGTTAGCAGCCTTTACTGTAATCAAGGCTGTGCCCTAATGAACTTTAAAGGACAAATCAGCCAAATGAATCAAGTCTTAAATTTAACAACAATCTTGAACCAAATTGGGGGGAAAAATGGATATGGTTTGAACCATCTCCTTTCATTTACTTCAGTGCAACTGCAAAAAAGTAAAGTCAATAGATTTACTTCATATTTTTTTAAAAAAAGGTCTTCCTAACTTGTAATTTTGGAGGCAGTAAGCATTCAGATAGCACTACACAAAACAAATAGCCACAATTGCTGGGTATTATGCACAACTGGCAAACAGTTTCACAAGCCATCCAACATTGCAAACATGTGCCCACTGCTAGCAGGGGGGAAGGGAGAGCTTCAGACCGATGCAAGCAGATCAAAACAACAATGCAAACTGAACTCATCTGGACCACGTATTATTCCAATGATCTCTATGTGAGACTGACTAATGAAAGGATAAATTACAAAATTTTAGTATTACAGTGTAGTGTGGATGTATCGGTATGTGTGTAAAATGTATATATAAAATACACAAGATTATGCCAAAGTGGTGCCTTTCACTAGGCATACTATATACACACTTATCTGTACATGTGTGTGTGTGTGTGTGTGTGTGTGTTTATTTCTGTTCACTAGTTCAGGGCCAGCCACATGATTAGTGGCTAGGCATTTGGAGGTTTGCTTCCCCTTTCACAAACACTGATTTACCCTCACTGATTTGGAGCTAAAAAAGCCCTTGGAAAATCCAAACAGCTTCTCCCAAACCCAGGCCAAGGAAGGGGTCATGGAGAATTCTTCCAAAAAGAGAGGCCTATGTGTCTGATACAGAACGTGGTCAGTTATTAATAAAGTTGCAAGCTTTAAATTTTTAGGTAAACTTAAAAGGCAGATTGGTTTATACAGATGAGAAAGGGAAAAAAAATTGAGCAGAGGATGAAGAAAACACATCCGTAGCAAGGAATGGCCCTTCCCTGAGAGGAGGAATTATTTCATTCCCCAGTTCCAAAACCTGTTAAGTCGATGGCCATCCACAACCACAGATCTTGCTTAACAACATTGCCTACCTTCTTGGCAGGGCCAAAGCCTCACATCTTCCACCTTCTGCACTTGCCCAGCCTCTTTCATAGACCTTCTGTGAAACCCTTTCCATCTTCTAGTGTCAGGTGAACTTTATTCTCAGCTGCAACATCATAAGTTTTAACAATACCTTTATTCAGATACCTTGCAATGCTAAGTGTTTCAAAACCCGCACAACTTCTTAATTTAATTGGGAAGAAACAGCACTGCCTATCTTTCAAAGGCATTTTCTGCCCTGCCCTAACTTTTGGGGTGTGGGGGAGTGTCTGAAATTGTACTTGCAGTGATGTCTGGGTGCTACACCAATCCCCCCCAAAGCATGCTGTGGCACAGTAGCTTTAATACTCTTAAACACGGACTCTGTTCAGGAAAGGGGACAAAATTAAAACTACCGTCTTCAGTTCCGTGCTTCAAAAATGAAGAGGCAGTCCCAACTTCAGCATCGTTTGTAGCTTCAGAAAACATGCAGTGCTCCTGTGTAATACTCTCCACTGATGTTTCTCAACTACTGTTGCCCCACCCCCCCACCCCCTTTGTGAAGAACAAGCCTTTTTGCAGCAAACCGAGTATGAAACTGAATCACAAAGAGCACTGCAATGACTGTAATATTTCCAGCTGAAATACGCACCTACAGTTTTAATTCAAACCCTTCTTCATTAGAATCCCCGCATAAATTATGGGTTCTTTCTTTGCCAACCGTCATGAAGTGGGCTGCCAGCAAGCCTTTCGCTAATTCTGTTAAGAAAACATGTTCTTTTCTCTACCCTGCCTTGCCCCCAACCTCCCTCATAAACACACACTGGCACGCACACACACACACACACACACACACACACACTCTCTCTCTCTCTCTCTCTCTCTCTTCAAGAGGAGGCTTGTTTCTGCAAGGAATTGCTCCTTGGAGCAGAATTACATTTTACACAACCCAATGCTCCCAAGGCGTAATGGAACCGAAGAGCATTGGCACAGAATCATCAGTAAACACATAAGGGTTAAGCATAACTTGCCTGCTGGTTCTCCCTTGCTATCCCTACCCTAATAATGTTTGGAGGCAAACATATCAGGAAACTTATTTTTTTTACTTGATATGTAACTCAAATTTGAGCCCTCGATGGCCTTCATTTTTTAATCTTGGCAGAATCAGCTATCTAGATATCCCACATATTCATCTCTTGCCACACAGTAACACTGTCAAATTCTCAGCTGCCTGAAAATTTAGCAATTAATACTGATCTCATGAATCAAACAGCAGCTTCCTAACGTATTTCCCTGTCCCCACTTCAATTATAGAAGTATGTATGTGTGCATGCATGTGCATGTGCACTGATGGACTGTCTTCCTGTCCGAGCCAATTAGGCACCGAGCCAGAATGCTGCAAAAAACAAAGTTTGAAAATATGATATAAAAGTGGAGTTAGTAAAGCATATCCCTTTACGTAGTTAAATAGAAACTGTTGTATGATTACGTACAGAAGCAGTTTTGGCTCCTCCATATAAAAGCCCTCAAAACCATCGAAGTTTTCGAAGAGTTGGATTAGTAATTGCACTCTAAAAAATAAATAATAAACAGGAACAAAAATATTATCTCCCTCACTAGAACAAATCACCTCCTCAGAAGCTCATTTCTCCTTCTTGTCCTTTTCCAGGGTGGAAATTTACATACAATTATGCAGGCACTCAGTTTTCTCCTCTGGATGCACAGCAGCATGCTAGGAGACAAATATAAATAAAGGGAAGACCAATCCTTTTCCCTCCTCCGAGCACAGCAAGGAGACAGAGATGGAATACAGCTAGGCTGCATTTTAGGGAATCTGTGGATTGATTGCTTCTGCTGCCCCTTCACAGTCCTCATCTGTGCAAATCTTTGTGTAGAGAAGGGGGGAAAAAAAGTGTGGAGAGCAGGACATGGATGAGGCCAATACCTGGATTTGGATTTTAACTCCCAGTGGCAAAGCTGAAAAAAAGGGCAGTGCTGATAACAATCCATATTTGTTCACGTAGGACACTTCATGCCACATCTGAGCCAGGATACTCACTGGGCCGAAGGCTCAGTTCCATCGGGTCCCTGACTTCTTAGTTACACAACAGGACCAGGGGATCAACTGACTGAGTTGGGATGGCAGCATGACTCCTCATTTGCCCAGGGCCTCTGCAAAGATGATCTCACCATTGGCCTCAGCGGCAGAGGTAGGCTCATCAGGGTCGCTATCCGTGGTGCCATCACTCTCCTTACCAGAGCTTTCAGCCCCGTGCAGAAAGTGTGTGTTGTGAGGAGACAGTGGATACAAAACATCCTGCAGGGCACCCACTACCATAGGGCTGGTCAGCAATTCTTCATCTGAAGAATGCAGCGAGTCATCGTCCACTGCCAGGTGACTCACAATATGTATGCCATCAAAGCCCATGGAGTCCTCAAAAGGCTTCTGTCCTTTCATTAGCCGAATCTGTAGGAGAGAGAAAGACAAGGCACTGGGGCAGCAGCCACAATGGTTTGGCATTCGGCACTGTGAAACCCGCTTAGGATCTGGAATAGCTGGGATTTAGAAAAAATAATATACAGTGGACAAAAGTAAAATCCCTGCTGTGATGTTAACAGAAGCTATGCCCTGGCTTAAGACTTACTGGAAGTATGAGGTTGTATACCAATATTCTCTTTTTTCTTGGACTGGCAAAGCATTGCAAACATAAAAGGGTAACAGTAGTAACCTACTCTTAAGAGAAAATTCATTTCTCTCTAGGTTATTTTACAAACTATACATGCTATAAATATACATATGTATATGTGTGTATATATATGTGTGTATATATATGGTATTCAGCTTTGTTCGGGTATTTTCCCATGTCATTGTAGTTGTGCTTTTAAAGTTGTAGCAACGTTTCGACAGAATCTCATCTGCCATCATCAGGCTTCTGTATTGAATACAGAAGCCAATACAGAAGCCTGATGATGGCAGATGAGATTCTGCCGAAACGTTGCTACAACTTTAAAAGTACAACTACAATGACGTGGGAAAATACCCGAACAAAGCTGAATACCACACATATAAATACCCGTGAAAACTTAAGAGAATATATGTATATATGTATGTATGTATGTATGTTTTCTGAGGTTTTCGTGGGTATTTGTATTCAGGTTTTCTCCCACGTAAAATTGGAAGGCGACATTTCTAGGCGACATTTCAATGAAGTCTCATTCATCATCTTCAGGCTTGTGTCTTCGGCTTTGTGCTTCTTGGAGTAATGTGAGCTTGCAGCGGCTTCTTCCTTTTAACTGCTAGTGGGGGTGTGACTTGATTGGGTGGGGGCTTGGCTGTGTTCTGATTGGGTGGGGGTGTATTCTCATTGGTTGGGGGGTTGGCTGTGTTCTGATTGGCTGGGGGTGTGTTCTGTTCAGGTGGGGGCTTGGTTGTGTTCAGGTTAGTCTTAGTTGCTGGGGGATTTGAGCTGGTGAGCTGTGATCCCGTTGTTTGGCTGTGCGTTCGTGGTCGTGCCACATCTTCATGGTGGGCATCAGTTCACTTCATGTATGGGTCGGAGGGGTTTGAAGCGGGTAGTGATGCAGCTGCGGTACGGGTTCTGGTCCGTGGTCGTGTTTCATCTTCTGTGTGGGTGTGAGTCTGCTTTCTACATAGAAGTGTGGTGGTAGCATCTTGTGTGGTTCTCGTGGGTGTGGGTCTGGTGTCATTCTTCATGTTAGGTACTCGTTTGTTAATGAGGGCGGGTTTCCAAATGACTGGCAGGCGGGAGGTATCATCTCGTTTATTCATGCTGTGTGGGCATTTTTCTATCTCTATGGCTTCTCTGATTATTCTGTTGTTGAAGTATTCGGTTTTGGTGATAGTTCTGGTATTTTTAAAGTCAATCTCATGTCCTGTGGCTTTGAGGTGTTGGACCAGGGAAGAGGTCGGTTCTTCTTTTTTGATTGAGTTCTTGTGTTGTTCAATGCGTGCACTTATTCTTCTGTTAGTTTGTCCGATGTATGTGGTGTGACAGGCGGTGCAAGGGATTTCATATACTCCTTGGTTTTCTAACTCGATTTTGTCTTTAGGGTTTCTTAGGATGTTGGATATTTTTCTGTTTGTGCAGGATGCTGTTTTAATGTTGTGTTTTTGGAGGATCTTGCTGATTTTGTCTGTAGCAGGCATGATATTCTCCTCTGAAAAAAAAATCTGAAAAGTAGCCAGGGGTGCCTTTTCCTTCCGACCTCGCCCTCCTCCCCAAATCTAATCACTCCCACCACCACCGACAGGACCCTGGAGGTACCGGATCCTAATTATCAACAGTGGGAAGGGACTAAAAAAAGAAAGGGAAAAAAATTCAGAATTGTTAATCAAGGGAGCTCCGGTTCCAGTCGCCACCCCAAGCTCTTCTTTTTTTTTTTCCCTCTGTACGACTTCCCGCAGGGGAATTTTCCCGTAAATGATTGCTTTCACTCTCTGGAGGGAGCTGCAGCCGTCTGGCTCTTTCCACACCTCCGCATCCCTGGAAAACCTCTCCCCCCCACTCCATGCCACCCCCGTCTTCTTCCCTTCTCCCGCCTTCCCCTGCCTCGCAAGGTAGGCAGCCAAGAGGAGCACGAGGTCCTGAGCTCTCGCCTCTTTGTAGCGCTTATCTCCCGAAGCCAAAGGGCGCCAGGTAATCCAGTGCCTCCCGCCCAGTTGCATAAATCTCGAGGGATAAACGCGGAGATCCAGCGGGAATGTCCAGGGGGAAAAAATGAGGATTGGGTGGCAACATACAGTCATCCTTGCACATTAGCTGAATAGCTCTGACCATTCACAACGAAGTCACACTTATCTCCGGGGGGGGGGGAAGGGGGGGAGACAAACTCCCTTAGAAGAAAAAGAAAGGGAAAGAGGCAAAACTTTGCAACGAGGTTCGCTTCCTTCCTGCATTCGCTCCCGCGTCTCCACCGCCCGCCCCACGCGCTCTTTTGGGGCCAGCCAAAAGAGACCCTGCGCCGCGCGCCAAGAAATCGCACACACAACACCAACACATACACACCCTTCCTTTCCAGCTGGTGGTGTGGATCAGCTCCGGAGCTGGGCAGCCGCTTCCCTGCTCCTGACTCAGGGGGCCTCCGAGGGGAGGGGAAGGGAGGGGGAAAAAGTGGGGGCGGCGGCGATGAAAAGTCGGAATTCCTATTTTAGTCAGAAGAATATCATGTATGCTGTAGTGCCTTTTATATATGGGAGGAGGGCTTTGCCGTTCTCTTGTTCTGTCTTGGATTTTGGTTGGGGTTTCTTTTTGGATTAGGTGGGTAATCTTCCTTCTTTGGAATCCATTGGCTGTTAGTACGTTAATGAGAGTGTGTAGTTCGGTTTTTAAGTGTTGATCGTCGGCTAAGCATTTTGTTCTGGAGATGAGTGTCTCGGCTACGGAATTGATCTGTGCTGGGTGGTGGTGTGAGAGTGCGTGTAGATAGTGGTTTGTATGTGTTTTCTTCTGGTAGATGGTGTGTCCTAGGGAGCCATTGGATTTTTTGTATACAAAGACATCTAGAAAGGGAAGTTGATTGTTAGCTTCTGTTTCCACGGTGAATTGTATTTTGGGGTGTAGGCTGTTGAAGTGTGTGAGGAAGTTGTTCAGTTTTTCTTTCCCATGTGGCCAGATTATGAAGGTGTCATCTACGTATCTGAGCCAGAGTTTGGGTTTGTGGTCATATTTTTCTAGAACTTGTTTTTCAAAGTGTTCCATGTAGAGGTTTGCAATGACAGGTGAGAGGGGTGATCCCATGGGTGCTCCTTCTATTTGTTTGTATTTTTGTCCATTGTAGGTGAAGTATGTATTGGATAGGCAATGGTTGGTCAGATCTAGGATGTGCTTGTGGGGGTTGTATTTGTTTTAGATGGCTGTCAAGGCTTCTTTTATAGGCACTTGGGTGAAAAGGGATATGACATCAAAGCTCACTAGTAGGTTGCTGGGTTGTAAGTTTTGTTTCTTTATGATCTCGATGAACTGGAATGAGTTTCTTATGTGTGAACTGATGGATTCTGCATAGGGCTGTAGTTGTTTGGTGAGAAATTTGGCTAGGTTTTGTAGAGGTCAGCCTATGGAGCTGACTATTGGTCTAAGTGGGGTTCCTTCATTGTGTATCTTGGGGAGACCATAAAGCTTAGGGCATCTGGATGATTTCTCTCTGGGTATGATTCTTTGCTGGATTTCTTCACTGATGGGGGAGGCTTTTATTTTGGATCTGGTGGTTTTTTTCTAGGTAGGTGGTGAGGTCTGTGTTTAGGGGTTTGTATGTGGGGTCTTGGAGTAGGTTGGTTAACTTGGTTTGGTAGTCAGATGTGTTCATAACCACTATCACGTTGCCCTTGTCTGTTGGTAGGATTATTATGCTGGTGTCTTCTTTCAGGTTAAGTAGTGCAGTTTGTTCTTCTTTGGGTAAGTTGCTTTTGGGTGGTTTGCTAGTGCAGAGGATGTTGGTGATTTCGAGTCTGATTCTGTTAGCATCATCAGGGTTGGTTTTACATACAAACCCCTAAGCACAGACTGTTTAGGGGTTTGTATGTAAAACCAACCCTGATGATGCTAACAGAATCA